TTCGTCACTTCCTTTTAGGAATTGGAGGTGAAAAGATGGTAAAAGTGATCCCCCTGAACAGTGCTGCTGCACTGAGTTACCTGGGAACATGTTAAGTCCAGGGTGGCAAAACAGGGGGAGCCCAAACCCTGCTGGGACTTGGAATACATCCATCTAACCTGCCTAACTCTGCAGCTTCCAGACACAGGTGGAAAAGGGGTCTGCACACCCTTGGAGGGGGGAAAGGGGAAGGATTCCTTCTCTAGGCACCAAGGAAGTGTGGTACCTTCTGGCACTGCTGCCCATCTTTAACAGACACCAGTAATCCGTGATCACAGGATGGTTTGGGCTGGAAGGGATCTTAAAGCTCCTCTCATTCCAACCCCCAGCCATTGGCAGGACACCTTCCACTGGCCCGGGTTGCTCAGAGCTCCATCCAGCCTGGTCAGCCTTGGCAGAAGCCTTCACCTACAGGAGGGAGCACCTCACTGAGGTCTGCTTGTGATCCCACATGTGCTTCCTCTTTCCAGGGTGCTGACTACTGTGAATCCAATGGGAGCAGGGATACCTGGTACAGGGAGGGACTGGGATTTGGGGTGGTGGGGGAGGATTAGTATCTACATCATCACCTTTTGGCCCTCAAATGAGAGCACTTGGCACAGGGTAATCTTTATTTCCCCAAAACCTGAGCTGTCAAATTAAGATTATTTTTTTAAATGAGATGAGATTTTTGGCTCAGGTTCCAGTTAAGCTAGTGTGGAAAGCTACGCATTTCTGGAGGTTTCTAGCAGCACTTCAAAAGACTAAAGTCGAGTCCCTAGAAAGCCAGCAGGGAACACTATACCCACCCATTGAATTTATCCCACTCTAATTTGGCTCTAGGCACCTAAAGTAGACACAAATTTGGCAGTCTAATAAGTGGGTGGCCAGTCCAATACTTTATAGAGTAGCAACCATTGACCTCAGTTAATTTTCTTTCAACAGTTGATCTCTTTCTACACTCATTCCAGCCACGTCCTGATTTTTATCAGGCCTTCAAGTCTTCCAAAGAATCCCTCTCAGAAAGTGAAGCAGAACACATTCCCCTCCTTGACTTAAATGTGTAAGTGAAACCAAATCAGGCAACAAGAAATGGGCAACAGTGGCATTTGCCCGTGGGGCCTGGAGCCGAAGGCCTGTGTGCAGTGGGGCTGCTGAAGCATTAGCTCCATTTGCTTTTTGTCTCTCAGCCCCCCACACCTGCCTGCCATTTAGCTGCCTCTGAAGGCTGGCCAAGGGACAGCAGATCAAATAATAAAAGCCACATTGAAGCAGTGTTTCAGCTGCAACAGTATGAGTGGAGGCGAGATGGGGCTTGGAAAAGGCTCCCTGTAAAAGAGCCCACACGTACATGTGAGAAGGTCATTAACTCGTGCCTTGTGCTATCTTTGCAGTCTCCGCTCCCTCTCTCTCAATTATTACATCAGAAGGAAATGAGAGAGCACTTTGCCAAATACTAATGGACTTGATGTTTTCATAATCTCAAGTGCACAACAATCAGAGCTGTTTATTTTCCAAAGAAGATGGGAACCAGGGGAGGAGGCTGAAGACTGTGCCATTCTGTTAAGGAGGGGGGGAAAAACCCTTATGGAGGAGAGCTGAGACTGAAAAATAAGCATCTAGGAACACTCATTTCTGGGATAAAGGTAGTGAGAGTGGCCAGATACTGTCCTGTCCTGTGCTCACCGACAGCACAGGCCCAAGCTTGCAAAACACTTCAGAATCCCATTTCAGCTTGACTTCAGAAGCTTTAATCTGCTTTCTGTATGTCTGAATGTAATGATGCTGCTCCATATTTGTCACTGAAGAGTAGCTGGAAGCATTCCTGGGTGAAATGTGGTGCTGAGGGGGCAGAGGATGTGACTGAGCTGACAGGAGGGGTCAGTGCTGTTTGCTGTTCTCAGCAGCCAGTTTCCCCACACCTTGAGCCTGTGTGAAATCCCAGGGCCTCTTTACAAAGGGTCCTCAGTAGGGTCCTTGTGCACCCTTACATTTGTGTTGGGGTACAAATACCGGAGTTCCCCCACGGAGCCAACTGGGACTGTGAGGTTTCTGAGCTGCTGGAGCCACCAGGCTGTTCCCCCTGGGGAAGGATTGACTTCTCTTTGGGATGTGATTCAGGAGCTATGGAGGACTTTTTTTTTTTTTTTCACTAAGTGCAGCCCAAGTCATCAATAGGAAGATAAAGACACTTCATGTTCTTTCCTTGCTGCTCAGAATTTGGGAGCTTCTGCCTTTGACAGGGGCCTTAAAATCTCAGTCCTCATTAGAGCAGAACAGACACCATTAACTGGAATGTACACAGGGCTGGTGTGGAAGTGATTTACAAGTGAATTTTCAAAGGGCATCTTGCATTCTCACACATAACCTTTCAAAGGTCATAACCAGAAAAAAAGGCTTTGCGTAATTTGGGAGAGTGTTTGGGCTGAACTGGGACTTAAGGATGTTCCCAGTGTGTGCTTGTACTTATTTATTCCTATTATCCAATGCCAGTGTTTGTACAGGCAAGTATTCTTTGACAATTCTGCACTGGGTTAAGAAGTAATGGGGCTCTTAATTACCACTATTTAAGCATTTTTCACCCACTTGCCAGTTAGATTCCAGCTCCCTTGTGTAGCAAAGAGCTTACAGTCTTGTCTCCTATGATCTTATATTGGTGTTGCGTGTCCTGATAGTAAAACAAAGGGCCGCCTCTCTGAGGAACGAATAACACAAATGTGGAGTAGGAGAGAAGTTGCTGTCCCCGCTGCCAAAAATCCGCAGGCTGTTCGGAGATGGTGGCTGGAGCGCTGGGGGAGCGGAGCCGGGGCCGTTCTGTGCCGGCGGCTCCCGGGAGGTGTCGCCGCAGCCCAAGGCTGGCGGGGCAGGGGCGGCGCGGCCGCCCCGGGACGGGGATGCTCGGGGGGACACCGCAGTTCCAGGGCTTGGGAGCAGAGCGCTGCAGGCCTCCTTTGTGGCGCTCGGACAGGCTGAGGGCCCCGTGCAGGTCTCACTGGCACGGTCGGTTGTGAGGACTCTGCCTGGGCAGGGCTCTGCCGCCCCTGCTGCCTTCTGTGTGGCAACCTCTGCATTAAAGCCTAATAAATGTTCAAAACCAGGGGGATTTCGGACTCGGTCTGACAAAAAAAAAAAGAGTTTTTGCATACGGATGAGACCTGATAAAGAGCTGTTTTACTTATTAAAGCAGATGCATTTAAATAAGGCTTTCACTGGGGACGTGCTTGTTGTAGAATATTGGGACTGTGTCATGAGTGGAAGGCAGTGTTAGACATCTTGTGGACCATGTCATTAATTCCATGATTTTAAGGCATCATAAGTGTCACTAGACTTTAATAGGACAGTTATGTGTCACTTGTGTTTGTGGCCATTGATGGTTTGTACTTCCAAACAGTGCTTGGCCCAGTTCAACAGGGGGCCAGGACTGGCTGGTCTTGTGGTGTTTTAAGTACAAACTGGGCACCAGTGGACAATGTAGGGTGGTGACTTAGAGCCACACACAGCAGATGGAAAGGTCTTCTGTATGTCTCTGATTCAGGAATATTTTAGCATCACGCTTTAAACATGTTTTGCATCCCAAACTGTAATTATATGCTGCTGGTACATGGGAAGAGACTAATGTAGCTGGGATAGGAAGTGGTGATTATCCCCCCCACAAAACTAAACTGTGTATAGGAATACTGAATGTGGACGGGCTGCCTGAGTCACTCAGAAAAACAAAACCAAAAACAAAACAAAACCAACATCCTACACTGCAGACAAAATACTTAGAGGGAGGGAGGTAAAAAAAATCCCCTGAACAATGCAAGAAACCCACCAAAATCCTAAACCACTGGGCAATCACTCCAATCCTTCAGAGCTGATAGTTGGAAATGTACCTGAGCCACATCATGACTAGAAAATCCATCCTCCAAGAGGCAACACATTGGGATGCTCTGTGAGCCATGTGGATTCTCCCTGTGTTCCACTTCTGTGCTACTCATGAGAATCTCATGGAAATCTCCAATGAAATCTACCTTTTCCCACGTCTTGCTTGAGTATTCCTTCAATCACAATTAAGAGTTTCTTTAACAATTTCCACCCAAAATTGTATTAATGCCTCAAGCAACCCAAGGTTAGAGGATTTTCCCCCTCCATCTCTCACAGTGTATTTCTGCCCTTCACACCCCCCAGTGACCCCACCAAAGCACCTTGTTTACTGTTTGCAGATTCCTTCTCCTAAGTATTTCTGGATGCAGCATTCAGGAGTTCTCCTTCCAGGAGTTTCACTTGCATTTTTAGTGCTCTGAGATTTCTATTAACTTTGCCCCCCCCCGTTTCCTCCTGTAAGAATTCAAGTACAGAGCTCAGGCAGGTACTTGTCTCACTCTGAGCAGTGGCCAAGGGCTATTTAATGATTTGGGTTTATACAAATCACAGTGCCTGCCTGCCTAAGTACCTGTGGTATATGGTGAAAGCACAAATTCTTCTGTTAGAAACAGGTTTGTGTTTAAAATGAACCAATGTACACTTAGAACTTTGCTGAGTGAGGGCCAGGTGAAAGCTGTCCAGCCCAGGTGAGCCAGCTCCCAGCTGCCAAACCTTTCCTTCTTCCTTGGACAGAGTGTGGGGGAGTGTTAGCTTTTGGTTTTTTTTCAGAAGCAACAGCGAGGGACAGGTAGTGTTGTGGTTTCAAGCTCTTTTGCCTTCAGCTACTTTTTAGATCATAGTGAGTTTTTTACATGTTAAAATTTTCCTCCTGAAGCTTCTCATGGAGTACTGGGATTTCTGAAATATCACTGTGTGATTACTGCCCTCACCTAGGACAATTAAAAAGCCCCTAAAACCTCATTTTCACTTTTTTTTCCTATTGCATCCTCTCAATTGTGTGTGTAAAGATGCCCTAGAAATGGAACAAGTCCATCTGTTTCAATGCTGGTGACAAAAAGAGGTTAAAATTGCAAGCAACCAGTGTAATTTCTCTTGGCATTGAATGATTCTCTCACCTCTCAGGTGGTCAGGTGTCTGTACTGATCAACACCTTTGTTGCCACAGTGTTGGGCAGGGCAGGGCTCTCCTGTCCAGCACATCTGTGTCTCAGGGTTAGGATCTGCTTGCTGGGCTCACCAGGCTGTGCTTCCACTTGTGGTCCTCCTGCACCATGGGACTAAACACAGGCCTGTGGCTGTGGAGAACCCTGGGGAAAGAAGAAAAGGGTTGGTCCAGCTGTGAGACATTGGAGTTGTTCTCATAAGCTATTCCTGAATAGAAAATTGAAGTTATGGTACCTTAGAGCAGGAATGGCCTGTTGGCAAATCTTACTCTCGTTAGAGGAAAATATTTTAAATAGTCATCCCTTCCATGGAAACTTAGGAGTTTGATGGGTTTTAATTCAATTATTTTCAATGAAACTATAATTGTGGGTGAATAAAACCCACAGAAAGATTGTATATGGCTCCCCTTAAAAAGTATAAGTACAAGAGAGGAGATCTGGTAGAGAGGCATTGACAGTTAAATATTTGAAAGAAAAACATGTAATGGAAGAAAAGCAGGTCTGCTGCTTTTTGCCAGCTTTGGAACAGTGTTGTCCAGCTGCAGCATCACCCATCAGAGAAAAAAAAAAAAATATCTGAAGGTCACATTTTCAGCCTCCCGGAGCACTCGAATGTAGGGCAAGTGTTACGGGGACAGATCCAGGTCTGCTCCTCTGCGCGGCATTCTTCCTTTTGTGCATCACCATGGTAAACAGGGAGGGTTGCCAGGAGCCCGGGCGCATTGTTTGTCTCGCTCCCTCCTCCGCTCTCCCCCTCCCTCCCCAAATGCTTTCTCGGTGATTAGTTACTGAGTGGAAGGGGCTCCAGTTACGGCGCAGCCTGCCATCCCTCCCCGCTTCGCTGCAACTAATATCCCACCTGCGATGATAAGGTTTAAACTTGTTTAATCTCCCGGCTTAGCCGTGGTGTTTTAATATTTTTAAAATGGTTGTTTCAGAAAGAGAGGGATTTAAACAGGTTTTGAATAAATAATAAAAGCCCTTCTCACAGGTTGCAATGCAGGCCGGGAGGCATGAACCATTTTCATCAGGTCAGGTTTCACGTTGGGTTATCCCAAGGTGGCCTGACTTTGTGGCCACGGATTTACAATGAAACAGTCAGATGCAAAGCAGTTTATGGAGGAGAAACTGCTTCAATAATGCATTTCCTGCTCAGCAAACAGCAGATACAATGACATTCACGGGGAATGGGAACGAAGTCTCGCAGGAAAGGAACCAGTTTCTCCCTGGAGTTTAATAACTTTTTTTGCTCCTACAATGTATTTGGGGAGATAAAGGTTGACTTGAGAGACATCAGAATGTAGAGCTTTGGAGGGAGAAAAAAGACAGGTTTGAACATCTCAGGCCTGATGACCCAAAGCCCCATCTGCACTGTTTCAAGTTTAAGGGAAAGGGAAGGGGTTCCCATTTCATGGTCAAATTTCACTGGCATAAACCTAAGACTCTTCCTCTGGAATAACCTGGGTGAAGTGCTTTGTGCTGGTGTGTAGAGCACGTTGATTTGTCTCCCAGTCCCTGCTCCCTGGACTGTGTTCAGCCCCAAGAGGAGCCCTGACAAGCTCCTGAGCTCTCTGAGCCAAACCAAAGCCATCACACCAGGTTTGCAGGAGAGTCTTGTCCTCTCAGTCCGAGCCACAGGGATGCACATCAGGCTTACAGAAGCACGTGTAAGACTGGGATTGGAAAGCCTGGAAAAGTAGGCAAGACTTTGATAGCTTTGTTCATGGCAGTTCTCAGCTCTCCTGCATTCTTAGGCACAATTTGTGTCAAAATTGGGGTAAAGCAAAGCATAGTGACTAAAGCAGAGGGGCCTGCCCTTTTTCAGGGGTAAAAGCCTGCCAGAAAGTAGGGCTCTGATCTCTGGCTCAGTTCCAGAAGAGCCCAGGCAGCACCAACTGGATGACCTTAGTGCCACACAGTTCTTTTCCTGAGGCTGCAGGAAAGAGAACCTGGGCACACAGCTGTGGTACAAATAGTTTCTATTCTTTCTGCTTTGGCAAAAAGCCTTGTCCAACACAGTGATCCAAAGTGGTCTCAGAAGGGAACTTGGCTGCATCAGCTTCAAGTGAAGGGAGAGCCATTGTGTCTCCAAGATGGGTCTGGCCAAGCTCTGAGCTTCTGCTTGCACAGGTGAATTTGGAAGTGCAGCTCATATAAAGTAATTAGCTGTGATTAGCTAATCACCTGTCACCCCAGGTGACACCTCCTTACTGATCTGGCTGGACACCCAAGTCACTCTGGGGTGGCAATGAGGACAGGGAAGAGGAAAACATTTTCCTTGGTGTGTGAAACCCTCTCTGACACAGCTAAAATTACCTGTGAGCTCCTGCAGGAAGCTTTTATGGACAAAACAGCAAATAAGAGCAATTTACTTCATAGCATATAATCATATTTCCAGTATTCTTGCCTATTTGACATAACCACAGGGCAAAAACATGTAAAATCTAGATGAGATTGGGTAAATACATAATAATAACAAACCACTGCCTCCATTGCACCTTCTATTTGAGGGAGAAGAGGCTGTTCCAGCATGATTTCAAAAGCACCACTCTAGTTTTGCATCACCTTGAAATAGTGAAGTATTATCCCTATCTTTTTAGCAATGCCACACAAGTCAAGTAGGGGCTTGCTCCGTGTGCTGCTCACTCTGTGAGAAGCCCTGTGGGCAGAACCTAAATACCCTCAACTGCAGTTGTCTACCTCGACATAAAAGCATCCTTCCTCACCAAAACTAAACAACCCCACACCTAAATTCTTCATGGGAAAGATGAGGTATGGCAGGCTGAGGGGGATGTACGAAACGGGAAAGATTTTTTTTTTAGAAGGAGGGGAGGGATAACAGTGAAACTGGAACTCATTTTTCTGCTGAAAGGAGTGGAGAAAAGAGCTGAATAAATAAATATAGGCCGATTACTTTGAGGATCCCTGAAGGGATGAGGGCTTAAAATATCAATATTAAAGTGAAACTTGAATGGCAGGGCAAGCAAAGATCCTTCCATATGTTCAGAATATTACATAAGAGAGCCATCCACATCCCTGGTCATCCTGTGTGTGGAAGAACCACTTCCTTCAAGGGCCCTGGGGTAACTAAAGAACTATTTTTCAGTTCCTTGAGTGTCATACAGAGAGTTCAAACTTATGAGCTTAAGAATGAGCTGAAGTCTAATTTTAGTTAGACTAAATGTTATTTAGTGTTTAGCTGGGACATCACCGAATCAGGGAGAGGCAGGAAAGCTCTGTAGTTTGCCACTGGATACCTGTATGAACACAGATCAGCTCTGCTAATTGCCAGAAAAGCAAAGATCTGGATCATATTTATTACATGGGAGGCACTACATTCTAAGGCAACATTTCATACAACAGGCATGGGCTGCTCTGGTGCTTCAGCTTTTCAGCTACCAACTGTTCCCCCCTGAAGTTTTAGGTTCAGTTTTTTAGCGTGTTCTGACTGTAGTTGTTTGGTTTCAGGTCATACAAATGAGGAGAAATTCAGGGGGTTTTTGGTGCTGTAGGTTATGTATTTGGTTTGTGCCCTGCTGTGGCTGCTCTGAACTAGGCAATAGGAGCATCACTGGAGGGCAATCCCAGGGGACTCCCACTCCTGATGCCTGGCATGCTCACCTGTATGAGGGGACACACATGGCAATGCAACTTGCTGGAGAAGGACTTTTTTTCTTGCCAAACTCCTAATATTGGGGCATTCCTGGGGGCAGGTGGGAGGTTATCTGTGTGCAACCCCTCCCCCAGTAAAACCAGTTTAGACACCACCACCCTTGTAAACAAGAGGTGGGCAGAGAAATGGATGGAGGATTGATTTGTCCAGTAAATCACGTCACCAAGAGGATGAGGAACACAGTTCCATCTGATCCTCCTCCTTCTGGAGCTGTTGAGCACAGTGCCTTTCATGTCAGGATTTTTGGAGGTGATGCTGTGTGTCCTGTGCAGGAAAAATAAGCCATAAGTACCACTGAGTAACTTGTGTGTTGCAGCAGGAGGAGTTGAAAGTTGTTTGGGGGGGGTTTTCTTTCTGGCTGAGGGTGGAAAATGTGATGGAGGCAGATCTAGCTGCATAATACAGGAGCCATTTCAACTCGTGGAAACTGGAATCTGCACAAGTGGGTCTAGAGGGCCACCAGTCTGGTTTGCAAACAATTTAGCAGGAGCCAGCAGCTGAACACAACCAAAACAAAAAGAAGCAAACCCATGGGAAGAGCCATTTGTGAAGCAGGAATTATTCCTTGTTTAAGTGGGAGGGTCACTCGAGTGTCCAGAATTGGAAAGGTGACAAGTGTCATTTGGTGAAGGATTAGGGCAGATTTTTTTTTGGCAGCTCTGATTTAGGAGTACCTGCTCATGGCCATGGCTTTCAGCTATGCTGGTTAACTGTTTGTGGGGCAGCAGAACAGGCTGGAGCACTGAAATAGCTGCCTGGAGAGGTTACTTTGAACCAAAAATAAAATTATCTGCTTCAGCCCATGATCCAGCCACTGTACAGCCAAATTCTAGAAGCTCAGATAAGTAGCTGGGAGTAAAGGGATGGAGTAATCTATGGAAATATCTCCTTCAGAGGAGTTTGCTGCTGATGGAAGGGTGCTGTGGACGTGCCCTTTTAATTTTTAGGGATCTGATCTCCAAATCACATACTCATATGAGTAAATCCTACTCACAAAGACCTTGTTGACTTCCAACAATCCCCCAAGAATGCAATTTGTAACCAAACCAGCTGAGACTTCAGCTTCTGCATTAGAAGAACACTTTTGTTCAGACTTCATATTTCAAAACACATTAGAAACAAAACTATATTTTGCAGATAAAACTAGCCCACTGCCCTCTGTCAGAGGCTCTGCATTGTTTGTGGAGAAAGCAGCTTTTCCCTGCCAGCCCCCAAGTGTCCTCAGGTGCAGAGCATGCATATAATTTGCTCTTGTACCTCAATCAGTGAGCAAGCAGAAAAATAGAGGAAATTAATTTCTCTCCTTCCTTTTCCCTCCGTCCAATTTTTTACAAGAGCCTTTTAAAAATGTTGCTTACTAATATGATTACACACAGCAGGGGTTTGTAACAACCTCATCTTAACCACCTCTGCCCTTGCTGTGGAAGGACTGGTTGCCTTGGCAATCTTCTCTCTGTGGTGCTCAGGAGCT